CTGTGTGGTGGTTGGTGGGTTGACGGGGGCGAGTGTTTTGTTAGGCCGAGGTTCCCTTGTCGTGAGGAGCGGTTGCAGGGAGCAGGGAGGTTGCTGATCTGCTCTGTGTCCCTGCTGTCCTTCCAGAACGTGTACAAGTCCGACCTCCTGTGGCTGAGGGGCATTGGCTGGTCCCCAAGTGGTTCTCTGGACGATGAGAAGAATAAGAGGGCGAGCCTCATCCTGAGTGACAAGAAGTATCGGCAGCACCCGGACACCATCAAATTCACGAGCCTTCCCGACTCGATGCCGATGGTTTTGGCCAAGCACAACTCTGAAATTATGAACCAAGTGAGACTTTCTTGTGTTTTATAGCTGGAAGGAGAGGAGTGCATTTCCCAGGATGTTGGGCTGTCTCCTCCTGGGGCCTGCGTTTTACAGGGGGATATTGGATCTTCTTCATCAGGGACTTGTGTTCCTTGATTTTGATGAATTCTATTTTGTGTGATTGGCGCAGTGATTGGGTGCAATGTGGAAAAGAAAAGGGAGTAGTGTGGGAGAGTTTTGGGATGGGCAAAGGCGTCCGTGAGTCAGTGGAAGGTCGAGTCCCCTTGCTTCAGTTCCCCGAGCTACTTGGCTCTTTGTGTTTGTTGCCCTGTACTTGTGTGGTCTTACTGCACGTTGTACTAATGTTTTCAGCGCTCGTACGTGTCAGCCTGGGAGAAGGATAAAACCAGCGTTCACATCATGCCGGATACACCTGGTATTTTGCTGGCCCAGCAGAACAAGCTGAACTTCAGCGAGGTGGGTGTTTGAGGTGGGGTTGAGTGTTGGTGCCTGGGCACTGCCGCGGCCCGGGAAGGCGTGTTGCTCGAGGCCAACGCCTGTGTGTCTTTCAGAAACTGTACAAGCTTGCGATGGAGGAAGAGAAGAAAAAGGGCTATGACATGCGGGCAGATGCCATTCCTATCAAGGCTGCTAAAGCTTCCAGAGACATTGCAAGTGATGTAAGTAGACAGAAGCCCTTGGCAGCATATTTTCTTCTGTCTTTCTTGACATTTCAGTAGGTGGCAGGTGAAAAATTATAGTATCGTAGAACCATGGAATGGTTTGTTTTGGAAGGGATCTTATATATGTTGTTGCAGCCCTGTCCTGACCAGGGACACCTTCCTATAGATCAGGTTGCTGGAAGTCCCATCCTACCTGGCCTTGAACTGTTACATGATTAAAACTTCCACATCTTACCCTGGCAACCTGTGCCAGTGCATCACCTTCACAGGGAACAATTTCTTCCTAATATCTAGTCTAAATCTCCCATTTTTCCATTTAAAACTGTTCCCCTTTATCCTGTCCCTACCCCCCTTATCAAGAGTCCCTGCCTGCTTCCCTGCAGCCCCTTTCAGCCCTGGGGGGCCGCTCTAAGGTCTCCCCGGAGCCTTCTTTTCTCCAGCTGAACCCCACAACTCTCCCAGCCTGTCCTCACAGGGGGTGCTCCAGCCCCCTGAGCATCTCCGTGGCCTCCTCTGGCCCCGCTCGAGCAGGTCCGTGTCCTTGTGCTGTTGGTGCCCCAGAGCTGGACCCAGCCCTGCAGGGGGGTCTCCCAGAGTGGAGCAGAGGGGAGAATCCCCCCCTGGCCCTGTGCCCACCCTCCTCTGGGTGCAGCCCAGCACACATTGCTGGTTCACAATCAGTTTTCCACCCACCACCCCCCCAAGTCCTTCTTCTGGGGGCTGCTCTCTAGCCCCTCCTCGCCCAGCCTGGGTTTGTTCTGGGGATCACCCCGACCCATGTGCAGGACCTCGCCCTTGGCCTTGTTGAACTCCATGAGGTTTGCGTGGTTCCCCCTCTGCAGCCTGTCCAGGTCCCTCTGGATGGCCCATCCCTTCCCTTTAGAGTATCAACCACACCACCCAGCTCGGGGGTCATCTGGAAACTTGCTGAGGGTGCCTCGATCCCACTGTCCGTGTCCCCAGCAAAGATCTTAAATAATACTGGTCCCAGTACAGACCCCTGAGGACACCACTCATCACTGCTCTCCATTGGGACATCGAGCAGTTGACCACAACTCTTGGAGTGTGACCACCCAGCCAATTCCTTATCCACTGAGTGGTCCATCTGTCAAATCTATATCTCCAATTTAGAGACAAGGATGTTGTGTGGGACAGTGTCAAAAGCTTTGCACTAGTCCAGGTAGATGATTTTGGTCACTTTTCCCTTATCCACCAGTGCTGTAACCCTGTCATAGAAGGAAAACCAAATTTGTCAGGCACGGTTTGCCCTTAGTGAAGCCCTGTTGGCTGTCACCAATCACCTTATCTTCCATGTGCCCTCCCGTAGTTTCCAGGAGGATCTGCTCCATGATCTTGCTGGGCACAGAGGTGAGACTGACTGGCCTATAGTTCCCTGGGTCTTCCTTTTTTCCCTTTTTAAAAAGGGGGGTTATGTTTCCCCTTTTCCAGTCAGTGAGAACTTCAGTTGACTGCCACAACTTCTTGAATATGATGGACAGTGGCTGAGCCACTTCATCCACCAGTTCTCTCAGGGCCCGCGGATGCATCTCATCGGGTCCCATGGACTTGTGCACCTTCAGGTTCCTTAGATGGTCTTGAACCTGATCTTCTCCTGCAGTGGGTGGTTGTTCATTCTCCCAGTCCCTGCCTTTGGATTCAGTTAATTGGACAGTGTGGCTGGAGCACTTGCCAATAAAGACAGAGGCAGAACCAATGTTGAGTACCTCAGCCTTCTCCATGTTAGTTGTAGCCAGGTCTCCCATTTTGTTCATCTGGGGGTACAGATTCTTTCATCTTCATTTGTTGTCCTGTGTACCTGAAGAAACCTTTCTTGTTATTTTTTATATCCCTAGACAAGTTTGATTCCAGCTGTGCCTTGGCTTTCCTGATTCCTTCCCTGCCCTCCCAAGCCATATCCCTGCAATCATCCCAGGATGTGTATCCCTGTCTCCATTGCCTGTGCATTTTGATTTTGTGTTTTAGTTTGGCTAAGAGGTCTTGACTTAGCTAAGCTGGCCTCCTGCCACTCCTGCCTGACTTTCTGCATGTTGGGATTGAGAACTCTTGTGCCTGAAGAAAAATGTCTTTCAGTACCTCCCAGCTCTTGTTTACTCCTTTATCTCTGAGAGCAGTTTCCCAAGGGATCCCATTCACTGTGCCCTAACCAGCTGAAAGGTTGCCTTTCTGAGCTTTTAGGGTATTGACTCTATTTTTTACCTCTCCTATACTCCTCAAGATTGAAAAGTCTACCAGGGCATGATTGCTACAGCCCAGGCTACCTCCAGTCTTGACCTCTTTGATAAGTTCTTCCTCATTAGTGAGCAGTAGGTCCAGCACTGCCTCCTCCGGTCAGGATTCCATCACCTGTACTAGGGAGGTGTCCTGGACCACTTGCTGTGCTGATTTTCCAGCAGATGTCTGGGTGGCTGAAGTCCCCTATCCGGACCAGGGCCTACAAGAGTGATGCTTTCTGCAGTTCAAAACTGAATTCTTCCTCAACCTCTTCTCCTTGATCAGGTGGCCTGTAGTAGGGAGCAATAAAAAGTTTCCTTTGTTAGCTGAGTCTCCAATATTCACATGTAAATTCTCAACACGAGCATTGCAATAGTGTCGAGTGGCTCCTTGTCACTCTTAGATAGTGGCTTTAGGTCTGCAGCTGAGGCCATGCACCGGGATGGGAGAACAAAACTTCTGAGCACTGTGTGGGAGAACCTGGTGCAGTGGCATGTGTCAGGTGCTGTGGGCTGAGGGGCTGTGGGGGTAAGCACAATCAAGACTGTGCAGGATGAGGCCCAGGTTACCAGCTAGAGCAGTCCAGTGGACTTCCCCAACTTTTGCACCGTGCTGCTGAGCTGGCCACTCAGTGGGGGCACTCAGGTTGTGTGGAGACCCTGTCCGCTGGTGTGTGTCGCTCCTGCTTCCCGAGCTGGGTTAGAGCTGTCATCTGGGCCTCCATGTGCCTCCTGTGCCCCAGTGTGGGTGTGAGGTTGAAGAGTAGCACACAGTAGTGTTACGCTGCACATAGACCCCTCTTCACGTGGTGATCTTGCCAGGCTCCATTAGCAAAGTGCTCGCTCTCAGGTGCTGCCACAGAGTCATGTCAGAAGGGCGAAGAGCTGGTCTGAACCTCACTGAGCTTCTTTCACCCTGCAGTACAAATACAAAGAAGGGTATCGCAAGCAGCTTGGGCACCACATCGGGGCCCGGAACATCGAGGATGATCCAAAGATGATGTGGTCAATGCACGTAGCCAAGATCCAGAGTGACAGGGAGTACAAGAAAGCCTTTGAGAAGACAAAGACACACTTCAGTAGCCCAGTGGACATGCTGGGAATCGTGTTGGCCAAGAAATGTCAGGAGCTGGTCAGCGACATTGATTACCGCCACTATCTACATGGATGGACTTGCCTGCCAGACCAGAATGATGTTATCCATGCTAGGAAGGCCTATGATCTGCAGAGTGATGTGAGTACTCGCTGATAAGTGTTGGAGTTCTAAAGTGTATGGAATTTCCTTGAAGTATAAACTACAGAAGCTGCTTGAGATGTCTCTCATATATTGTTTTTTGACATTGTGTTGTTCTTTACCTGGTCCAAGCAAGGTAATAAGATTATTGGGAGTGATTGAATCCATTTTTAAAGGAAGTTGAGTATTATGAAGGTTTACATACAGCTAATCAGTTAGCTGTACAATAGAATTAGCTGCATATAATCCTTCATAATAGACACTCTTAATACCTTTATATGCAGTATAACTGCATATAAAGAGGAAATTGCCTAGTATGACTTTCTTTCTTTAGTTGGATGACTTAGTGGACAGAATTCCTTTGTTCTGTCCTGGAGAAAATGGTTGAAGTTAAGACCTGCTGTTCTTAGCAGGTGACCATTTATTTGTTGTGAACAAACATCACAGGAAAAGTTTATACTGACTTTCAGGATTTTGTTTTAATCCCGTTACTCTCTGACCATTCCCCAACATGCTGTTGGGTGAGTGATACCTCTTGAAGACAAATATGGGGTCTGAACGTAAGTTGCTAACAGACATCGTTTTGCAGATTGAACTAGGAGGAGGGCAGTTTACAGAAAGTAAACACTATTTGCACAGTATATATGACATGTTTAACTGGCAATAATAATGAGCCAGCTGTTTTTGTATTTTGTAATAGAACTGCTACAAGTCTGACCTTGAATGGCTGCGGGGTGTTGGTTGGGTCCCAATTGGTTCCTTGGACGTTGAAAAAGCCAAGAAGGCAGGAGAGATCTTGAGTGATAAAGTGTACCGTCAGCCTCCAGACACAATCAGGTTTACTAGCGTCCCCGATTCTCTACAGATGGTCTTAGCCAAGCAGAATGCAGAGACAATGAACAAGGTGAGTCTTGATTTGATTAAGTAACATGTCAGCTGTCTCCACCTAAATCCTGGAGACACAACTGGAAATACAAATGTGTGAATGCTGTGTGAGATTGCAGCACAGCGAGGCTTTAAAAGTGTGAGTTACGTTCTTGGTAATCAACAGGTCACTTATTTTCAGCAAGTGCTAATTTAATAATATCTTCCAAGTTACCCAGTTAAATTGGAATTACCAATTGTGAAGCTTTTCACATAGTCTACTGTGTATCTAGACTTGACTTTGATTTAATTTTTAATACGGCAATTTGTCTAATAAATCTAATAATTTATCAAGTTTATCTAGTAATTAATAAGCTATATCTTTTAGCACACTCTTTGAAACATCCATATTTTAAACAATTCATTGGAGTACTTAAAATGTAAGTTTTTCTGAATCTGTGGTCCTGATTTCAATCCTATTTATGGCAATAAAACCATTTCCCTTTTTAAACACGCCTTGTTCTTAGAGTTTAGATCTCTCTGTGTCTGATTGGCATTCTGTGCCTTCTTTTAAACATTTTAACAGAATTCCTTCTAGGTTACTAACTTTTAATCTGGACATTACGTATCTAGAAGAGTGAGTATAAAGTCTCATCGCTATATAAGAAGTAAGGATTTTTTAGACTTGGAGTACAGATCTGTAATTCTTCTTCTGTTTCAGAAGACCTCCAATTAGTCACCATTTTCCCCCCGCTTTAACATGCATTATTTTTCCCGCAGCGTTTATATACTGAGGCCTGGGATAAAGACAAGACACAAATCCACATCATGCCTGATACACCTGAAATCACACTGGCAAAGCAGAACATGCAAAACTACAGCGTGGTGAGTGTGTTAGCTCTCCAAACGTAACAGGTCTGCTTCAGGGCTGGCTCAACACTATTCTGATAAACCTCATGTAGATGATACCCTCAGTTTCTTTAAGTAACCCCCAATATTTATCCTCAAAATTGTGACTTCAAAACCACCATTTGCATATTTGTAAGTAGCACGCACATACAACAGTGAGCACTATGGAGAAGAAATTCCATGAGAAGTTGTATGTCTCCAGTGAATTTCTGGGAGTCATTTCTGCCAGTGTGCACATGGTTGGGAAGGCACAAAATTAATTCCAATATTGGAAATACCAAAAAGGTAATTTCCAGCAGAAATCTGAAGAGCAGTAATCCCAGTATTGAATGTTTAGGCAAATAAATTCACATCAATAAGAGGTGGCTTCATAAAGCAACTTTTACTCCACTTGTATAGAAGAATAGTTTGTCTGTAAAATTTTAGCCAATGTTATGTTATTTAAAGTCTTGAAAGAGAAAAATTTCTAGCTAATGTATTTAGCAAAGATCTTCCTTTGATAAGAATTTATCAGCCACTGATCTGGGGCTTTGAGTTAAGAAAGTTAGATAAAACTGGGTTAGAATAAACCTTAACACAGTTTGTTTAAATCCACTCTACTTATGTGCAGTTTATTTTGCATAAAATGTAATAGATGGAACTTATGTGAATCCCGTTGTTTACTTCTTTACTTAGAAACTCTACAAACAGGCCATGGAAGAAGCAAAAAAGAAAGGCTATGATTTGAGGAGTGATGCTATCCCCATTCAAGCTGCCAAAGCATCCAGGCAAATTGCCAGTGATGTAAGAAACTGCTGTTTTGTTTCTTTATGTGCTGACATCTGATTTCTGCAACCTGAAAGTTATCATCTGGATTCTGTAAAAGGCATTTCAATTATACTGTGATCTCAAAGAATAGATTTTTGGAAGAAAATTATTATATATGTTTAAAGACTTAATTGTAAAAATTAAATGTTGACAAGTTATAAGGACAATATAATGCTGCTACCGTGTTAATTTTGTAGCTCATAAACCCATATCTTTAAATCTTTGACGTATGTATATTATTATCTTTAATAAGGATTAAATATATTTAATAAGGAGAGGATTATCACTAATACTACTGAAGAGGGTTTTTTTCAAAAAAGCTTAGTTAAAAAACTCTGTTTAGGGTTCTAACTCAAACCTCAAAAATTTAATATGAGAATCCATGTTATCAGCCCCAGAATTGCTTTGACAGTTTGGGTTTTTTTTTCACTACAGGTTATAGAAAAATTTGGAGAGTTTATTATTAGAAATATTTAGTATGAGTAACTGATATTTAGAGGTGATATAGAAATATAATATCTTGAATTACATTTCAGTACAAATACAAAGAAGGGTATCGCAAGCAGCTTGGGCACCACATCGGGGCCCGGAACATCGAGGATGATCCAAAGATGATGTGGTCAATGCACGTAGCCAAGATCCAGAGTGACAGGGAGTACAAGAAAGCCTTTGAGAAGACAAAGACACACTTCAGTAGCCCAGTGGACATGCTGGGAATCGTGTTGGCCAAGAAATGTCAGGAGCTGGTCAGCGACATTGATTACCGCCACTATCT